CAGCCAAATCAAGGCAAAGGGTGCCTCCTGAGAACTGTTTCCATCTTAGTCATACAAGGAAATGTCTGATGGCAGGGGTTCTGTCTCTTCCCTCAAACTAGAAACTCTGTGAGGGCGAAGGCCATCACCCTCCTCAGGCTGGGAGCTCCCCGGGTTCCCAGCAATTATACCTCCTTCACTAACAGATTAGCAAATGCAACTTTATAAAATCTGTTTCAGGTCTCAGCCTGTGGAGACCTCTTGCTGTGAGGAGACCCTGGCCCAGCCTTCCTCCTGTAGGCACCTACGCCTGATGGGTCCTTCCTTAAATCACTGCCCCTCTCAGTTCTAGCACTTCTGGCTCCTGTCCCCTCCTCGACAGATGCTCAGCCAGGCCTTATCTTTGCCTTGCATTTTCCCTTTCCAGGCAGATTATAAATATTTACTGATTCCTTCCTTGCCCTCCCCCATCTTCAGTGTCCTGATGGATCAAGTCCTGTGGATGCAGCTGAGTTGTTCTCCCGCCCAACAACTCTGAGACCAACCTGGTAGGCTTGCAAGGGTCATCTAGGGTATCCCCCATCTCTCGGCTGGCGTAGGCTACCATCACCCCTAATAACTGAGAGGCTGTTCTACACCAGGGCATAGCACATACGGCTGATATTCCATAAATGCTGGAGGATGGGTGGGAGGAAGGGAAGGGATGGAAAAGAGTCTCTCGCTTTTTCCTCCAAATCCCTTGTGCTTCTCTTTCTGCCAGTTCTTCTCGTCCTCTAGCCTCTCTCCCTCATGCTGTAGGTGAGGCCCACTTTCTCTTGGTGAGACGTCAATAAAACTGAGTTGCTCTCCTCACTCTAGAAATTTGGACAATATTTTGTCCTGCCCGAGTTCAGCCCTTGCACTGCGTCTTCCCAACAGGGCAGAGCCCTGGTCTCTGATCCTTTATATAATAAATACGTCCTTCCATCCTTGGACCTCCCTGTACCCCCCTGAGAGCATCATGCATACCCGTAAAACCTTATGGATGGAAAGGGACAAAGGTCCTAGCCCCAAGAAAGTGACGGTTTAGTTTTGTTAGATGGCTCATTTATGACTGCTGTGTTACAACCAGCCAAAAACTCCACAGCTTGAAACAACAAGAGCCCATATATTCATTCACAGGTCTCTACTTTGGTCAGGGGATGGCTTCTCTCTATTTTGTGTATTGTTGGCTAGAACGGCTCACCTGGGTCTGGAGAAACCCAAATGACCTCCCTCACATGTCTAGTGACTTAGCTTGCAGTGGTTGGAACAGCTGGGGGCTGTTTCTACCTGAGCCTCTCTCTTTCTCTCTACCTGGCTTCTCTCTCCAGCAGGGTAGCTGGACGTCTAGAATCACCAAGGTCTGTAGGGATCCACCCAACCTCATGGCAGGAGGAGGGACAGAAGGCTGGCAGGCTCTTTGGAGAATCAAGTACCCGAAAGGCCTTTGGGACTGTGACTAGGTCACTCCTTAGGGAAAAAGGAAAGGGACTCAGGGTGGGCAGAGCAGAGTTGAGAAGTAACACTGTGAATCTCCAGAGAAAACGTTGGTCAGACCTGAGGAGGGTGGGGGGTGGGTCCCACAGAGGGAAGATGGGCTGGGACAGCTTGGCAGGCTTTCTCGGGCCCTGAGCAGTGCTTTGGAAGACTGCAGGGGTGTGTGAGTGGGACTTATATCATTGGGGGAAGCAGCATGTTCATTTTATCCTTCTTTCCTCCATAATCTATTTAAAGACTGTTTCTCTCTTCCAAGGCTACATGTTGCAATATCTTTCGTATTTAGGTTTCGGATCTTCTACTGACGAGCCCCAGCCCCCGGAGACGTCTCTTGCCTTCCTTTGCCTTGCCTTACCACACTTGGGTAAGTTTGGATTTCAGCCCTGGGTTTGGCCATCACCACATCCTCCCCCTGTCCCACTTTTCTTCTGCCTGTTTGTATTCAGTCTAGACGACTCATTTTTATTTGTTGATGCTCTGCCCTAGCCTGGGGCAACCATGGTGTGATGGAAAGAGCACTAGAATTGGAGTCAGGAAAGCTGGTTTAAATTCTGGCTTGGCCATGTACTGGCTGTACGTAAATGTTCAGGCAAGTTATTTACCCTCTCTGAGCCTCCTGCTTCTCCCCTGCCAAGCAGAAATAATGAGGCCCATCTTCAGGATTTCTAAAAGGAGGAGACAGTGCCTGGCACCAACCATGAGGCCTTCGTTCTTAATCCCTGCCGCTGATGCTGAGGTCCCTTGTCCTCGCCCAGCGATGCTCAAATCCCCACCTGTTGGCAAGCCCCTCCACCAACCCCTGTCACCAGAGCCAGCCCTCATCCACCTCCACAATCTTGGGGTGAAACCCTCAGTCACCAGGCCTGTTTCAACAATGTCAGTCAATTAACAAAGGTTTATCGAGCATGTACTATGTTCGAGGTACTGTTCTAGGAGCCAGAGAGACAACAATCAACAAGACAGACAAAAATCTCTGCCCTCACATCGCTTGCAGCCTAGTGGGGCGGGGGAGGGGAGGGCAGCGTACATTTTAGAGCTATACCAACCAGAATGGTAGCTGCTGGCCACGTGTGTACATTGAGCATTGGAAACGTGGCTACCCCCAATTGAGAGGTGCAATAAAATCAAAATACACAACAGATTTGAAGATTTTGTTTAAAAGTTAAATCTTTCATTGATTTTTATATTGATGAGATGTTGGAATGGTATTTCAGATATGTTGGGGTCAAGTAAAATATATTATTCCCATCAATTTCGCCTATTTCTTTTAACCTTTTAAAATCTGGCTCCTAGAAAATGTTAACTTACATGTGTGGCTCATGTTCTCGTTCTGTTGGACAGCTCTGTCCTAGAGTATGTTAGAAGGCGGTGTGTGCATGGGAAAGAAGAAGAGATGGTGAAAAGTGCAGTGTGAGGAAGGATGTCAAGGTGGCCTCACTGAGAAGATAACAAGACTTGAAGGTTAAAATAGCCACACACACCATGTCTGGAAGACGAGTACCCCAGGAAGAGGGAACAGCCAGTGCAAAGGCCCTGAGGAGGGAGCATGCCTGCTGTTTGAGGAATAAGGAAGCCATGGTTGGAGACGAATGATCTTTGGGGGGTGGGGGGATGGGGTCAGAAGTCACTGAGTCAGGGTAGTAGAGGCAGCCTGGATGGCGCAGGGCCTTTTAAGGCCATTGTACAAACTTGGGCTTTTTCTCTGAGTAAAACAGAGTCTCTACAGGGTTTTGAACCCAAAGGTGACATGATTGGGCCCACATTTTAGCAGATTCACTCTGACTGATGTGTGAGAGTCAACTAAAGGGAGGCGAAAGGAGAATCCAAGAGGCCAGTTGAGAGGCTCAGGTCCATCTACTGCGGATGACAAGAGCCCCCATCTCACAGAGCATTTGTTGTGTGGATTCATCGTTAACCAGTGAAAGAGCTGACAGGTGGAACGCGCTTGGAAAACGAGTGCTTACTTGACCAAAAGCGCCATGAGGACAGGGACCTTGCCTCCTGTCTTCCTCCCACTGTAGCCTAGAGAGGTAGAGGGCGCCCTCCCCAATCACTCTCAGAAGTCACCACTACCACCCCCCCCCTTGGCATCTGCCCCTAGAGGACTGCAACAGCCTCCTGTTGGCCTCCCTGCCTCCTGCCTGCCACACTGCTGGGCTGCTCCATGTAAAACCCCTCAGCTGCTGCTCATCCCTGACAGCTCGTAGGCTCTTGTAGGGAGCATTGCAGGTGCCCCACAAGCTACCTCTGCCCCCCTCTCCAGTCTCCATCCCCCGTGCACTGCCTTCCTCAGGGCCCCCTCCATGCCTTTGCTCTCTTCTGCCTGGGATGTCTGCTTCAACCCTTCCACCCTCCACCCCCGTTCGTCTTCTTTAAGGGGCAGCCTCGAGGTAAGACCTCACCCCCCGATTCTGCCACCCCACCCCCATGCTGGATCGGATGGCCCTATCATATTTTATATATCTTCCTATTTCTGGATATATAGTTGTGTCTCCTCACCGGATCCGTGAGGGGTGGAATGGTTGGTGTCTTAGTCCAGCATCCTTTGCCCTAGCGAGATGGCAGGCCCAATAAATAAATACTGTTGGAAGAAATAAGAGAGGCTAGAGAAGTAGATTTGGAAGCATTGCTCATAAAATGCCAAAGACCCAGACAGCTCTACCTTCCCAAGGACTGCAGGAGAAAAGTCCCCTCAGCGGCAACCAGCGCTGTGGGTCTACCTTACAGGGGCTCAAGGGACTCCAGGGCTAAGTAAAACCAAATTATGACCTGAGGTCCAAGCCCCTGTGAGCACCCACTTCCCACTCCCAGCCTGTTGCAGCCTACAGGGCCCCGTAGCCAAATCCAGCCCTCTCCAGTCCCCTGGGCAGCAAAGTCAGACACATGGCCTGTTCCTTCCTTGACCAAGGGACAGGGCCAGGGTCACGTGATTCCTGAAGGCAGCATTACTCACTGCAGGGCCTTGGTTCCTGTCTAAGAAGCTGTGTCTCCCTCCCCCATATCCAGAGTACCCACCCACACACCCACACACCCACACACACGCGCGCACACACACACCATATCATGGCAGAGAATGGACAGGTTCCGCAGGACCAGCCCAGCCACAATGGAAGGACTCTGGGCCCCTGCGCAATGAGGCGGGTGACCCCATATATAACACACCTAGAACCCCTTTTCCCAGACCTAAGATAAATGCCATGTTCCCCAAGGGCAGAGGGAAAGCGGGCAGGAGGAAGTCTGGAACAAGGATTCAATGGAGAAGGAGAAACCAGGAGGAGCTTTGAGATCAGAATTAAATTCTTTAATACAAAATGCTTTTTTTAAGATATATCTGTATTTCTTTGTTGCTGTTTAAAAATAAATATGTACTACGGAATATCTCGAAAAACTGCACTAGGGACAAAGATGTGATGTTAATATCTTTCCCACCACAATTATTATGGATAAACAGTAGCACCAATAAATAAATGATAACAAATATTAAAATTAAAAAAGGAGAAAGATTTAGTATGTAGAATTCTCTATTTTTTCTCGTTTTGTTTTTACATATAAAAAACAGAATAGCAATGTCTATTTTATCAGAATCACATATATACATAAACATATATATATATATATTTATATATATATATACACAAACACAAGTTGCCAAATATATATATAGTATGTAAATGTATATTGAAACCTTATTTCAAAGGAATGTGTGGTGGGGAGCCAGGGGAAAGGGTAGGGCAGAGCTGAGTGTTAGCAAAATTAAATATCTGTTCAGGACAAGCTGGTGACTGTCACCGATCAGGGAGAGAGAGAGAGATTGGAAACATGAATTTTATACACAAAGACCAGTACAAATAAGAGAGAGCGAGAGAGAACAAGAGAGATACATCTCATAAATAGTTGAAATTAAATATTAACCAAGAATACTGAAAAAACCCTACTCTTTAATTAAATTAACTGCTTTAATTTCTAATTAAAAAGAGATATTAAATAAGTACCGTATATAAAACACTTTCTCTTTTCTCTGCCTCCATGGTGGGCACGTGGATCCTGCCCTGTCTCTCTGTGCCGCGGGGAAGGGTTGGGTCAGGGGACGGAGGAGGGTTAACCACTCACACACACAGAGCCAGTTCTCCTGGGGGGACAGAGCTAGTGGTTTCAATGATCTGAGGACATCAGGCCCTCCTGGGCTGCACCCGGGGAGGGGAACAGGGAAAGGACCGAGGCAGGAGGCCCTTCCCTCGGACGACGAGCTGTCACCGGGCTGCCCTTCCTCCACCAATGTCTCTCTTATCTTTTCCAGGACATCTGTCAGTGGCCTCCTGGGCTTCTCGGAAGCAGGTAAGAGTTAGGTAAAGGCTGCCCAGGCTCCTGAATCTTCCAAGCCAGTGCCCCTGGGAGCAAGATGCCTGTGCAGCATGTGGCGGGGATCCCCAAAGCACAGCAGTGTCCTCAGGCTCCCCAAACTCCTCATCGCTGTACCTGTCGTCTCTCTTCCTGTCCATTTGACTTGGGGTAGAGGCTCAGAACCAGGGCTGGGTTTGTCGGTGTTCCCAGAAGCGGGCCAAATTTGCCCCCATGCCCTGGCCTTGCATGTTCCTAGGCAAAGGAGGGGACCCTGGGCTCCCTAAGAGGGTCAAACAGATCATGCCAGAGTCTTTCCTCCCATCCTCTGTCCTGTCAGGATCTGGGTGGGAACATTCTCCTCCCATCTCGAGTCCACAGCAGTCAAATACATCCAGTGAAGACACCAATAACATTAGCAATGTTAATTTAAAAAAAGAATATATATATTTTATATATATAAAATATATATATTTATTTTTATATATATGTTATATATATATATATATATATATATATATATATATATATATATATATATATATATATATAAACGTTATGTATGTGGGTGGGTGTGTCTACAAGAATCCCAGAAATAAAAACTCTCTAATCTTCCGGGCTCGGTGATTTAGCAGCAAGAAAAATAAAATAGCGATCCAATTCCAAGGGGGACCGTGCTTGGTCACCCGCCCGGGAATGCTTCTGCCGGAGTCTCGCCTTCCGGACCCAAAGTGCTCTGCGCAGAGCCTCCTCTTCCTTCATTTCAGGTTTCTAGATTAAGGATTGTTCTGTCGATGGTGATGGTGGTGTGGTGGCAGCGGCGTGGTTTCTCTATCAGTCGTTCTGTATCCATCTTGCCTGGTGAGAAGTCTGGTTCCCGAAACCCTGAGGGAGGCTCCTTCCTCCAGCCCGGCTCACCGCCTTGGCTTGTCACATCTGCGGGGAACGGAAAACAGAGGCCAGGGGTTAGGGCCAGGCGAGGAGACCTGGTAGTGAGGCAGGCAGCCTCCCCTTCCTGGCAGCCAGAGTCCCTGCAGCAAAGAGGTCCTGTCTCAGGGAGCCCTGGGGCAATGGAGAGGGCCAGCCCCTGTCTGAGGAGACCCCCCCCCCCCGGCCTGAGCTACTGTCTGAGCAGTAGCTAGGGCAGGGCTCCCAGTCTGCCCTCTAAAGCTTCCAATCTCGCTGAGACAAAACAAGAACAGAAGACATCTCATTGCATGCAACAAATGAATACGTACTAAAGTACGGTCCCTACTTGACATTTAAGAGCTGATGGGTGATCAGAGTTGGACCAAGTTCATCAGGAAAGGGTCCCTGCCCTGAAGGAGGAGGTGTTTCAGCTCAGTCTCTATGGGGCTGCTTTGGGGACAAGAGTGGGAAGAGGACCATGAGCAAGGGAAAGGGGCCTGTGCCGAGGCCCAGCCGGGGACAGCCAGCTGAAGGGGAGGCACTGCCCCTGGGGAAGTGAGGCTCCCAAAGGAGGGGGAGCCAGTGGGGCCTGGGGCCCCAGGAAGGTGAGGGACACCACTCCCTTCTCCATGCCCTCTCTCCCAGCCTGGGCTACAAGCCTCATCTTTCTTGAGCTCACTGGCAGCAGCAGGCCCTGAGTACGAGGCTGCCTTTCCTTCCTGATATGCTATTTAACTCAGGGTGAGGAGAGACAAATTGGTGGCTATGCTACTCGCACTGAAGCAGAAGGGACTCCAAGAACTTTCTCATCATGCCCCCGCCGCTGGTCTGTCTTTTACCCTCCCATCTGTGAGGAGGGGTTAGAGCAGGCCCTGCCCTGCTGAGACCCTGGGAATGGGGATCCTAAGCCTCCAGTTTGGGGTACCGAATTTCCCCATACAGCCAGGTCTGGAGGGTGGGGTGTCTCTGGAAGCTGAGGTAACTTCAGTTAGCTCCCAGGTTACCTCAGACATCTCCATCCCAGAGAGTCAGTCTCTCTACAGAATAATCTCTTCAAAAACCCTAAAATGGCAAGTCCCTTACCTCCCCTGAAGTGCCTAGGGGACACAGGGACCGCTCATCCAGCCCTGGAGTTAGGCAGAGACCCCACCCCAATACTGGTATACATTTCCTGTCTTCACATACTGCCAAAACAGACAGAGCCCCACATCAACACCCCAAGACCTGGTCCCCAGCGTCCTCTCATCACGCACAAGCCACAGGAACATGGAGGGTGGGGGAAGGCAGCCACCCTCCAAGGGCTTGGTTAATGGAGCATCTGGACAAGCCAGGGGACACCCTGGCCGTGCCTGGGGAATCCCCACAAAAGCCCCTCCTCCCTGGGTAACACCTAGGCTGGCTCAGAGGGCTCCCTTCCTTTGCACACAGGCCAGAATGGTACAAACGCCAGTCGAGGCATCAAAAATTGCCAGCCAGCTGTCACAGCCCTGTGCTCCTGACCTCCCTCCCTGAACTCGCTCTTATATTCACTCACATAATTGACACTTCCTTGGTCCCCACTGTGGACAAGGAACAGAGAGATACAGGTGCCTTGGCGGTGGGGGTGGGAGGGGAGGGTGTTACACAGGTGACTAAGAGCCAGGCTCAGGGTATGAGCAGTTCAGTCTCATGTTAGGAAAGTGGGCATGGCCCCTCCCTCCACCCATCCTGGGGGCATTTGGAAATATGCGGGCTGTTTGAGGTTGTCACCATAAAGACCAGGGTATCAAAGATATCTAGTGTCCCCAGATGTTCAATCTCCTACCTGCCCTAAACCAACAGCCAAAGCCCATGCCCTCCAGAACCCCAGTCTGAGGAGGGACTCAACCCCTGCCCCCTATGGAGAGACACTGAGGGATGAGAAGCCCAGCGGTGTAGGCTTCAGAGGGCGGGGTCCCCAAGAAAGCGTTTTTCACTTTGTACACGGCAGCGTTCTCCACACCGGGAAGGGCCCTCAGTAATAACAGCAAAGGTAGTAATCACAACATCAGGACCAACAGCCAACCACGAGCAGGACCACAGGACACAACACTCAGCTTGCGTCCACACCACCACATTAGACCATGCCACTCATGAGTCTACCCATTCAGGCAACCAGGGCAACCTCTGAATGGGCCCTGCCAGGCCAGGCCAGCGCCCGCCACCCACCGCAGAGGCCTCGCGAGCCAAGAAGGTAGTAGTCACCAGGCAGGCAGCTAGAAGCTGAGCAAGCAGCTGGCCCCTCTCAGGTACGTGCTCTCAATCTCTCTCTCTCTCTCAATCTCTCTCTCTATCTCAATCAATCTCTCTCTCTCTCTCTCTCTCTCTCTCTCTCCACCTCTCTATGAAGCCCCTCTCTGACTCGTTCACCCTCTGGGAACCAACCTGCAAGTACGTTCGTTTAACTCAAGCTGCCTCGCCTTGCAACGCGAGTCTGTGTTTTTGCAGGAACATTTACACGTCTGCGGATCTTGTACAAACAAATGCTTTCTCCGCTCTGAGCAAGGCCCACAGGGACTGCAAAAAGGCAAAAGGAAAGATATCTAAGCTAGAGCGTCAGCAGAGAGAGAGAAAAAAAAACCATGCAACACCCCCTAACATGTGCACAGCGGCGCCCCCACCCGGCTAGTGGGCCCCTACATCCTTCCACACCCTGGAAAGAACCAAGTGCTACAGCGAAGACAGAGAGCGGCGGAAAGAGGCAGCAATGGCTAGGAAGCCTGCCCGCAGGAAGAGGCAGACACAGACGGGCAGTGTGCAAGGAAAGGGCTGCAATAAGGGGCAGTGCGGTCCCATGGGGACAAGTGCAAGTCTCAGGCCACAGGGCCCCAACAGCTACTGCCCCCAAAAGAATACACCTTGACTCTTCACCTGCTGGGGATGGCAATTGGGGGCCACCTTCTCCCTGTGTGAGGAGGGCTCATGCCCAGGCCTGTCCACCACAGGTGGACTGAAATAGGGTGTGACAGCAGGCTGAGCCCAGAGGCAATGTCCACAGGCCAGGACACTGGCGGCCAAAGGGCCCAGAGCAGAGTCCACCACAGCCTCTAACGCAGAGGAAGCAGCTGCCCTATAGGGAGGCTTCTGTGGGTGTCATGGCTCGGGCTGGAATAGGGGACTCCCCTCCAGGGGCCCTAACTCCATAAGATGGGCTGCCAAATGGTGCTTGTCCCCACCCAGCCTCCTCCTCCAGCCAACAAGCTGCCTCATGTCATTCAAGCCCCTTCCTCACACCTGGTCTGCCCTCCTCACCACCCTCAGCTTCCAGAAAAGTGCAGAAGCCTAGAGCAGTGGAAACCAGTTGGGTGAGCAGGCACCATTGCCTGGCACCCATGCCAACATGGGCCCATCACCAGTGCCCAGTGGGTGAGAGAAAGGTCGTGCCCAGCCAAGCCAGAGCCCCCTCCCTGATTCCTCCAGGCCAAGCCACCCACCCCCAACCTTGGATCAGCAACGCCACCACCAAATCTACCCATGGGTGCCAATTAGTGGAGTGAGAGTGAGAGAGAGACACTGGGGCAGAGGGGAGGATAACAGCCAGGGAGGGAGAGAGGGAGGCGGGAGGGTTAAGGGGTCCTGTGGGCAGGAGTTAGATTGGGGGGCCCTGGTTAGGCTCCAGAGAATGAGAGCAGCGGCACCACATACAAGCTCCAGGATTTATACCGGGATTTCTTGCGCTTTCTTTTTTGCCCCTTTCCCTTTCCTCGAACTGATTTTCTGGAAAATAAAAAAACAGAGCCAGAGAGACAGAGAGAGGGGGCAGGGGAAAGGAAAAGAAGCAGTGAGGAGGGCAGCGTACAGGACACGCTGAGGGGACGGCAGGCAGGTGGGCTCCAGGGAAGAGCTGGCACACACACGTGGGCTGGGGCAGCAGGCACTCGGCGACTCCTTCTTCTCACTGTGGCCACCCTGGGGTGGCAAACCCAGCCCCCAGCAAGGCTTTGGGCAGGGAGCAGAGGTTGGGCGGAGGGAATAGACCCCAAAGGCCTCCATGCTCATGGTGGCTCCTGTTCCCAGGCAGGGGGCAAAGCACCCTGTACAAGACTGATCCCGAGGGTCAGGGGGCTATAATAGGTAGGCCAGAGTTTGGGGAATAGGTCAGAGACCTGACATGATTGGGGGAGGGGATGGGGGGGAGGGTACCAAGGCTGTGCTTCTGTCTTTATTTCCAAGGGCAACAGGAAGGGGTCTCTCCAGGGGCCCTGCCTCTGCGAATGTGAGAAGGCAGCTCCACTTGGGGGCTGGCACAAAACCAAGGCAGTGCATAAAAAGCACCCGCCTGCCCAGCCATAACCTGGGCCGAGAGGTGGGGCTGGGAGTCCTCAGAGCCTCAGGCCGGCGGCAGGAGGGTGGGGCGGGAGTTAAGGAGGCATGGGGAACAGCGGCCTAGGCGCCACTTAGCGGGGAGCTCTCTCCCCAGCCCGGCAGAGCCCAGGCGAGCTCCCCACTCTCCTGTGGGCAAAGCAGGCATTTGGGGAATGGGCAAGGAAGGCAGGCTGAAGCCTGTCCACCTCAAGAGAACCAGTACTGTCCACACCTGCCAGGCCCAAGAGAATGCTCCTTAGAATGTCTGCCACAGGGAAAGAAAGAGATGGGGAGGGGTCAAGGGGAGGGGCAAGTCTGTTCCCTCTTGTTGGGAGAAAGTGTTAGAAGGAGGAAGGTCTTCACTCACACTCAGACTCCTTCCCCCCACCCCCCGGCCCCCACGTGTGTGTGTGTGTGTGTGTGTGTGTGTGTGTGTGTGTGTGTGTCCATGCACATGCACATGCTTACTCTCCCAAATCACTGGTGATAGCCACAGCAATCATGGAAGTTGGGGACTTAGGGAAGAGGCAAGGGGTTGAGGCCTAGAGGGCTTCAATGTCCCCAGAACAATGGGGCAGATGGGATGGTAGGGGTGGGCAGAGGAAAGGGCAGATAGGTGCTCTCTCTCAGTCTCTTTTCCTGCAGACTCATCCCCATGCCAGGGCTCACCCTGTATCGAAGGCTCGTTACCCCCAGACCTTGCCCCCCCTCACCCCTGCTCCATTCTGACTCGACCCTCCGTACTGAGTAACTGGAAGCCTCTGAAAATGACCAACATTCAACGCTTTCTCCCTGGCCAAGAGGACTGAGTGTCTCCAGCCCTATTTACTCCTACAGGAGGGCATGCACCAAGAAAACACCCCAGCTGGCCCCAAATCCAATTGCACCACCACAACAGCCATCGTAAGAGGCCATTTCGTCTCACACACAAAAGCTCTGCCACCCATTCCCTCTCCCTGCTATGGGTGATGGGAGGCCAAAGCGAGCCAGGGAGCCAGTGTCCACGCTGCCCCTCAACACACCAAAACTTCCAAGTCCTGGCCAGGAATGACCTAGAGACCTGAAACACGTCGTCTGTCCCAAAGGAAGCTCCAGGCTCCAGGCTGGGTTTTGTCACTAATTCCGTAGCCATCATCCTGGAGTTTGCTCCATCCCACTGCTGCCACCACATGTCTTCATGAGACCAACTCCCTAACCCAGTGAAGCCATCAGACCCCCTGACAGAGGAAGCCAAGAGCCCCAAACCAAGAAAACCGACCAAGTTTGAAAAGGAGAAGAACTAAAGTCATGACCACTTACTTTTCTTGCCTTGCTCTATCTTTCTTTGGTCTGCAGTGGGTAGAGAAAGAGAAAAGAACAAAACAGAGAGGAGTTCAGATGGTGATGATAATGATGATGATAACAATAACAATAAAAACGTAACGTAGTATTTATGATATAGTAACACAGGTTTAATCTCTTTACGTATATAACTCGCTTAATCCTTATAACAATGCTATAAGGTACATACTATTATTGTACCCACTGTACAGATATGGAAACCAAGGCACACTGAAGCAAATCAAAATGCCCGCGTTTATACATGTGACGGGTGGAAACGGGCTAACAAGTGGCATACGCTTAACCCTGGCACAGAGCAGGTGCCCTGTCGCGGTTTGCTGAGCGAATGAATCCATGACTCCATCCTCACCTGCATTCACATTTGTTGTGCTGTAGGAAGCTCATTTCTCCTATGTGCTGGAGTTTGTGGAGTCTGATCCGCATAATCTGGAGGAAAAGGAAGCAGATCACAGAGGTTAGTGACCCAGCCAGCCATACCCACATGGGACACCCCTGTGGCTCTTGCCACTCAGCACCCAGGGGTTCTACGGAGCAGGGATGGGTGGTGGAGGTAGGGGGACCAGAGGCTCTACCAGAAAGAGCCTCAGGCCCATCCCAACTCCCCCAGCCCTGCTGACCCTCCAGGAGACCCTGCTCCTCTCGAGGGCAGACATGGCTACGAGGGTTGGCCAGGCTGGGAATTCAGGTCCTGGGTTCTTGCCACGCCCCATCCCTCCCCTCCTTTTATCCCCTCTAGGCTCACGCTGACCCCTAGTAGGAACCCAAGAGCCCCTCCCCCCCACAGGGTCTCAAAGCTGCCTCCCTCCCACCCTGTCCAGGCTGTGATGGACCCTGCCACCAAGCAGCACCAAACAACTGGCTCTTAAATTCTCTACAGATGACTCTCATCCAGCTTCCCAAAAAGGGAGGGAGGATGAAACACGAAACACGCTCCTATAACAGGTGTCACCCTCCTCCTGAGTCCAGGAGACAAAAGGTCAGGGAGGAGGAAGAGGTGGTCGGGACTCGTTGGAAACCTAGACTGAGAAATGCAGGCATCTTTTCCCCCAAAGAGGCAAGACCCCCTCACACCTGCCCCTGACTGAGTCAGGGACAGGAGCTGGGCAAGGCAAGTCTGGCTCCTCCTCTCAAGTGTCCCCATGCCCCAGTCCCCACAGGTACCCACCTGCATAGTGATGTTGAACTCCTCAGTGGGCACACACTCCAGGCTCTCATCGTTGCAGCAGCCCCCGCACCGCATCAGGGGCACACAGGACGGCTTGAAGATGTACTCGATCTCATCAGGGTACTCCTGGAAGATGTCCACCAGGGTCTCGATTGGACGGCAGTAGCTGCGTTTGTAGACATCCATGAACTTCACCACTGCATGGGAGGGGGTGACACATGAGCCTAGCAGGTCACACACAAGAAGGCCAGCCCCCCTCTCCACCCAGCTTAGTAAGTTCACCCTTCAGGTTTTCTGTGAGAGATACCCACTCTGGGGCAAGTCCTTCCATAAATCTAACTTAAGTCCCTCTGAATACAGTTGAAGTCCTTCCCTAAGCTTTCCACTGTCAACACTGATGAAGGCCTGTTTCTACAGCACATGACGCTGTCAGGTTCCACGGGAGATGGCCTGTCACATCTGATCCCCCTGCCTCACCATGATGGCCGAGCCAATTCCTGGGTCAGTCTGAGTGGGAGTATATCTGTTAAGATGCTCTAAGCTTCCCATGAAAGGAAGAACAGCTAGCTTGGCCAACATACTCCCCATTTCCCTACAACCTCTCCACAGCCACTGCCATCTCCTTCCAACAACCTACCAACAATCATTTAATGAGTGCTTATTATACGCTGGGTACTGGGTATGGTCGTCCATAGCTGTCATCTCCGTACATGGTACTATGATGCTCGAGTAGGACCCTCATTCTACAAACAGGGAGCTGGGGGCTCAGAGAGGCTGAATAACTTGCCCCAAGGCCATACATAATGTTCGTAAGTGGTAGAGTTAAAATCATCTCGGACATCAAAGCCTTCTCGAGCTGACATCACGGGAAAACAGACAGGAAGCTTCAGGGGGCACTATGCCACCTGCCAGACGCCTCCCCAGACATGGGCTGAGGTGGTGGTGGGCATCCGCACAGGGACTAGGGCGGCCTGGAATCAGCAGGTGGCAGTGGGCGGGCACGCTGAGCAGGCCCTGCCAGCCTCCGATAACCCCGCCCAAGAGGGCAAACTGCTTGCATCATGGAAAAAACGGTGCTGCCATTGCAGCCACAGAGCATTTCTAGAAGCTGATCTGGAGGGAGACCAGGGCACAGACAGCTTCCCAGGCTGGCCACGGAGCCTGAGGTGCATTGGAGCATGAAGAGGTAATTCTGGGCCACAGGGGCGGGCCCTTGAGAATAAATAAACTCAGGACTCCCTCTGGAATGACTACTCCAAATTGTGGCCCAGCCTGCCACTCCCCATCACACCCCCCTCTTCCCCCCACTACCCCCACATAGCAATCCTGTCCCTGCAATGAGTTCCCCCTGCACAGGAGGGAAGCAGCAGCACCCAGCCAGAGAGGAGGCTGGGCTCTAGCCATGACTTGGTGTGACCTTGAGTCCGTCCCTCCCTCTCTGCGTCTCAGACTCTGCACATCTGTGTAAGTGGGTTGGGCTGATCTCATAAAGACACTGACACAGAGGCTAAAATGTGGAGTTTTGCCTTCCATTTCTAGCCCTGAGAACAAGCTCCCTTTTCTCAGCCCAGGTGACACAGGGTTTGGAACCTCCCCAAGGCTGCCTCTCCCTAGAGACTAGCCGAGCGTCTCCTTCCTCCTCCCTCCAAGGGGCAAAGGAAGAGGAGCTTAGGGAGGGGTGTACAATAGGTGGGTTGAGAAGAATCTGGAGAGTTGAGGGGAAGTGGAGGGGGGGGGGCGCGGGTGCCCACAGGTATGAAAACAGAAATAATAGTCGGGGTCCCCCCAAGCCAGTCTCTGGCCTTGCCTGAGGTCTCTACTTTTCCTATCCAGACAACAGCACAGAATCCTTCTCCATCCCTAAAAGGGTTAGGGTAAAGCACAGTGGAAAAGAGTATAAACAAGACCTGAGATCTAAAGAAGCCCTCTTCTAAGCCAAGTCTATCTTGAAGAAGATGACTAATCAAGAATTCATGACCGGACACTTCGTCATGGTTGGGGACAGAGGTGGCCCAGGCTTCAGGGCCACAGGCCCCACCCAGGATAGGATAGCAGAAAAGTCTGGCCTGGGCCACGGTGGCTAATAGCTGAGGGTAAAAAGACCCTGGAAGAAAATCCCTTGGAAAAGCTCCCTGGAATCCCCAAGGCCTGTAGGAGGTGACGGAAGGCAGCTTCGCCAGCACCCCTCACGCCCTAGCCCCTGCCTCCGAAGAAAGCCATTCTGCTTTTGCACAGGGCGTGAACACACACACACTCCAACCTCAGACTTCCATGGTTTTCCTTATTTCTGAAGACAATCTTTTCTCCAACAAAGACCATTTGTCTTGCCTCTCCCAGGCCACGGAGATCACTGGGAGGCTGAAGGGTGGGGGCACTGGGAACTGGTGGCCTGTCAGTGGCACAGGCTGTGGAGTGGCCAGGAAGCCAGGCCGGGGGCCAAAAAAAGGGTTTCCAGGCCAGGAAAGAGGCAGAACCGGCCTGGGAGTGCAAACACAGCCCTGGCTACTACCCTGAGCCCACTAGATTTAGGTCAGGGAAGCTGGCCTGGAGGAAGACCCCAGGACCTTCCCTCCACAGAGGTGGGGAACTGGGGGGGGGGACATCAGGCACTCCTACCACAGGCTGGAGCAGAGGCCACATTCAATAATGGGGAGAGCCTGGGCGTCCCTAGAGAAATGGGAGGCTCCCTACTTCAAACCGCAGGGAACAAAAGACACAGGCCGACTAGGCTTGGGCAGGGGGGCGGGGTGCCTGGGAGCTACTGCCAGCCCTCTGCTGGCCCAGGAGGGAAGTTCACAGCACCCAAACCTCCTCCACCTAGAGGGCAGGGGGAGGCTGTCGGGCTTTCTCTCTCTACCCTCAAAGGAATGCAAACTGGGGAATGGTGTCCCATGAGTTTGGGCCTTCTGCACCTCCAGCTCATACATAGCCAGCTCTCCGGGTGGCAAGGCTCACAGCCTCCTCCACATAGGCCCCAAAGGTGGGACATGGCCGGGGTGGAAATGACAAGGGATATCTATCCTCCCCTGGGAGTCGTGGGGACAAGGGACACCTCCCTCAACATCTGGGACCCTGGAACACTATTTTGTCTTCCTGGTCTGTGCTCATAGCTCCCTCTCCAAAGAAAACTTTACTAGAAAGAGCAGGAGAAAAAGGCTGTAAGTCCTATTCCCAGCAGAGGCCTCAGTAGGAAAGAGAGTCCTCCACAATGAAGAGTTAATCTCATCCTTTCCCGGTCAGCGAATTCCTGTGCCCCTGGTCCTTCCCCCCACCTGAAAAGAAGCAATTAGGCCTTCTCCCCCAACCCATGGGAGGCAAAGGGACCCCATCCAAGAGCCAGGGGACTCACCTTCGTGGGCTTTCTGCTCTCCTTCTGCCATGGGCGCAGCCTGGGACCACTGAAGACAAAACAAAAGAATGAGGCATGGGCAGGGACACGCAGGCCCAGCCACCCGGCTCCGGCTCCTTCCCCTGGCCCTCCCAGGCCACAGCCTCTGGCTTTGCCAAGGCTTCTGAGAGGAACTGGGCAGCACCATGGACTCCCCACAGCACGGAGCCCACCCACCAGCCCTGAACTGCTCCAATTCTGAAGCCAAAGATAAAGACTGACCAGACATTGCGGAGTGGGAGGCTCAAAATGCAACAGGAATACACCAGAATGCTGCACTGTCCAGGTCCCCGCCCCTTCCCCATATTTCCCTCTCCCGGTTCTCACAGGCCCATTGCTGACCTAAGGTAAGTGAATCCTCTCAGCCCCCCTGACTCCCTGGTCCAAAGCCACGGGTAAGTATTAAGGTCAAATAGGAGGACAAATTTGGACTGGGGCAGGAAGGAAGGACTGGGGGCGAGAAAAACAACATGGTGACCTTCTCCTGCTGACATGACAAATACCAGGGTGAGCTGGTGCTGGGAAGGGAGGGGGTGCAGAGGACCGAAGAGCACCAACCACCCTCCCCCATCCAAACTCTTCCGTTCTCAGGAATATTCAGCAAGCCCACAGGTTGCCTGGAGGATAAAGCCTGGAAGCCCTGGGGGAGGGGAAGCCCCATTTCTCCCCATGCACACATCTAGCCAGGGCCTGAATGGATCTCCAAAGCCTCAAGCTTCACACTCCTCCCTTGCTCCCCGGTTTCTTCTCCCTCCCAGGCTGAAGGGGTCCCCAAGTCCCTCTCACCTGGGCACTTTCCTTAAATGCTTCCAGGAAAGTCTTTTATGCCCTAGCACTGCCCAGCCCCTAGGGGGCCCCCTGCACTACGTAGGCCACAGGCCTCCCCCAACCCTCCCCACCCCCACCCAGATCATTCCTCCGCTCCCCAGAAGCTGTGAAGGTCAACAAGCCCAACCATGTGGACCTGACAGCACCAGGCAAAGGCTTCTCCCAGCCCTTCCAGAAGATCTCCAGTTCTCACCAACTGCCC